GTTAGTGGGCCATGCTACTCCCCCCCCCACCTGCTGCCCTCCCCAATGAGACGCCGCCTGAGGCTACAAAAACCCTATTATGTCCTAAAAGTATCCCATATATATACAGTATATGTGGTTCTAATTTGTTGCAGTTGTCCATCCTGTCCTAGGGTGACAACGTTCACTGTATCGTATCTATAGAGGATAGGGTTGCCACCTTTTCTTCCATCGAAACCTGAACAGAATTTTTTTGGGGAGAATGAGTGGCGGCTTATTCATATGTAAATATCACAGTCGAGATTATTTTCAGTGGGGGGGGGGGGGGGGGGCGGGGATGTGCGGGTTTCAGCTGCCATGAAACCCGAATACAGCATTCAAAACCCGAACTGTCCAGGTGAATCCTGGACAGGTGGCAACCCTAATAGAGGAGCAGCGTTGTCACCGAACGACAGGATGTGTGTCAGGACTACAAACAAACAAACCCCAGCTCTATAACATAGGCAGGGAGGTGTTCTATAGCCCACAGGGATAGCTGGGAACAATGTAACTGATAAGGGAGCTCAGGGAGTTATCGGCTCTCTGGATTTCTGGCAGGAATGTGGCTCATGTTCAATGATTGCTGCTCAGAACTGGCACTACGTCCACCCAGAATTTGTACCAAACCCAGCGACACCCGGCCCTGGAACTAGCCCCACGAGTAAGAGTGGGGCAATGGCAGCCGGCAGTACAAGATGTCCTCAATCTGATGGTCAGCCTCATTCAACTCCCTTTCCTCTGAGCCCAGGTTGTCCTGGACCCACCCACAGCCTGTGACTGGACAGGGAACGGAAAAAAACAGCTCAGTAATGAGCTCATCACTCTGATCTCTCCTCCTGTCAGCACATGATCTTAGTGCTGCTTCTCCCACTCCCAATCTGAGCTCTGCTCTACAGGAACAGCAGGAGGGTGATACCGGGTCACATGTAGGGACTTGCACTGCTTGCATATAGAAAAACATATATTTTTTTTACGCACGCACGCACGCACGCACGCACAATGAATGACATGTTTGTTGTAACATGTTATATAGATTGCGAGATAATAGAAATTGAGTGAAATTGGATTACACTCCATCACGCACTACAATATATACTCCATGATCAGACAATATACTCCAAAACACATATTAGGGAACTCTTCCCTCTCCTAAAATGGCCGCCGCGGACTCAGGATTACACTGCGCATGCTCCGCCTCTTCCTCACCGACACACGGCTGTGTCTACACAAAGATGGCCGCCGCACTCACTGACCGGGGACATAGCGAGCGAAATCGTTTTCGTGTAGTTTTTTATAATATATTTTTGTGCCCTTTCGCAGAGTTTCTGTCGGCTGTCATTAGCGGCTTCGGACAATTCTGATGTCGACAGTATTTTCCGACCACTGAGAAGTCCCCCGCTCACCAGGCTGGGTGTAACCATGGTAACAAGGAAGTGGGTGTGCGGTGTACAGGCGGCGGAAGTGCACCCCCGTAAAACGGAAGTGGGAGCTGTAATCTAGTGTTGGTGGGTATTGTTTACAGCAGTACATGTGGTGGGTGTTGCTGTTTTGGGTGTGGTATATATAGGCATGTGTGAGGGGTACATGGGGGGTGTCATGGTGTGTAAATGGTGAATGAGGGTGTCATGGGCTGTGAGTGAGGTGTATAGGGGAAAATGGGGAGGACAACCATCCAGGATTCATATGTTCGCTGATCTCACTGCTCTGTTATTCTCTGTATTTCCTCCTTTTATATGTAACATTTCTGTGCTGATATTTACTATTGCAATGCCCGGCTGTCTGTCCGGGGGGAGGGGGACTTGTGGGGGGTTCAGGATGGTCTGTGATGTCTGTAGGGGCTCCAACATGACTGTATATTATATTAAAACCGGCCCAGCCAGCCATTTACATGCCTTCTCTGTTGTCCCCTGGCGTAGTCCTCCTGTGTAATGGTCCTCTTGTGTCGTCCCCCTTTGCCGTCCTTCTGTGTTGTCATCATCTCCTCTACAGACATTTGCATCATCACGTAGCCAGGGATCCCGGAGGATTCACCCACACGCGTGTGTTATATATCGTAGCAATGAAAGACCTTCTGACTCATGGGTGATGTCCACCCGCAGCCATGGTCCATGGGCCATCACATGACCACTAATCTAACTGATTGCTTTCCTAAATAGATATGGGAGGGGAAGAGAGTGGAGGCTTAGGATGGATCCCGGGGTTGAGCCACGATGCCGTATTCCCATGGTGTGTGGGATTTTGGTGATGGCACACCTCGAACCCATGGCCAACCGTACCATAGGGGCATATTACAGGTTTTTGATAGAGGCGGCTCCCTCTGCTGTTGGGGTTTACCTTTTCATCTTCTGCCCTGAAACCCTTTTTACCCGGGATGACCAGTTCTCGGTATTGGGGGAACATTTGACTTTCTTTTTTACTAGGGATGCACCGATACCGGTACTAGTATCGATATCGGTGCCGAGTATTTGGGCGAGTACTTCCGGTATCAGGAAGAGGAGCATGGAGCCGGCCTCCCCGCCAATCGGAAAGCATGGCGTCGCCTCATTACACGGCGCCCCTTGTTCCTGATTGGCCAGGCGGCTCCGGCTGGGTACCGGAGGAAGGCCGCGTTCTGGCTGAAGAGGCCCCCGGGGGTGACAGGCTGCACATACTAAGGTAAGAGGGGACTTTCTTGTTAATCGGGAAGCCGGGTGGCGAGTCATTACACGCCGCCTGGCTTCCTGAATGGGACTTCCGGTACTCGGTAGTTGGTATCGGCGAGTAACGGAAAAAAATGATTGGCCCACGCGGCGGGGTGTGAGAACTAGGAACACGCGGCGGGGGGTGAGAACTAGGAACACGCGGCGGGGGGTGAGAACTAGGAAGGCGCGGCGGGGGGGGAGGAGTGGAGAACGCGGGGGCTGAGAAATAGGAACACGCAGCGGGGTGTGAGAACTAGGAACACGTGGCGGGGTGTGAGAACTAGGAACGCACGGCGGGGGCTGAGAACTAGGAACGCGCGGCGGGGTGTGAGAAGTAGGAACGCACGGCGGGGGCTGAGAACTAGGAACGCACGGCAGGGGCTGAGAACTAGGAACGCACGGCAGGGGCTGAGAACTAGGAACGCGGGGGCTGAGAACTAGGAACGCGGGGGCTGAGAACTAGGAACGCGGGGGCTGAGAAATAGGAACACGCAGCGGGGTGTGAGAACTAGGAACACGTGGCGGGGTGTGAGAACTAGGAACGCACGGCGGGGGCTGAGAACTAGGAACGCGCGGCGGGGTGTGAGAAGTAGGAACGCACGGCGGGGGCTGAGAACTAGGAACGCACGGCGGGGGCTGAGAACTAGGAACGCACGGCGGGGGCTGAGAACTAGGAACGCACGGCGGGGGCTGAGAACTAGGAACGCACGGCGGGGGCTGAGAACTAGGAACGCACGGCGGGGGCTGAGAACTAGGAACGCACGGCGGGGGCTGAGAACTAGGAACGCACGGCGGGGGCTGAGAACTAGGAACGCACGGCGGGGGCTGAGAACTAGGAACGCACGGCGGGGGCTGAGAACTAGGAACGCACGGCGGGGGCTGAGAACTAGGAACGCACGGCGGGGGCTGAGAACTAGGAACGCACGGCGGGGGCTGAGAACTAGGAACGCACGGCGGGGGCTGAGAACTAGGAACGCACGGCGGGGGCTGAGAACTAGGAACGCACGGCGGGGGCTGAGAACTAGGAACGCACGGCGGGGGCTGAGAACTAGGAACGCACGGCGGGGGCTGAGAACTAGGAACGCACGGCGGGGGCTGAGAACTAGGAACGCACGGCGGGGGCTGAGAACTAGGAACGCACGGCGGGGGCTGAGAACTAGGAACGCACGGCGGGGGCTGAGAACTAGGAACGCACGGCGGGGGCTGAGAACTAGGAACGCACGGCGGGGGCTGAGAACTAGGAACGCACGGCGGGGGCTGAGAACTAGGAACGCACGGCGGGGGCTGAGAACTAGGAACGCACGGCGGGGGCTGAGAACTAGGAACGCACGGCGGGGGCTGAGAACTAGGAACGCACGGCGGGGGCTGAGAACTAGGAACGCACGGCGGGGGCTGAGAACTAGGAACGCACGGCGGGGGCTGAGAACTAGGAACGCACGGCGGGGGCTGAGAACTAGGAACGCACGGCGGGGGCTGAGAACTAGGAACGCACGGCGGGGGCTGAGAACTAGGAACGCACGGCGGGGGCTGAGAACTAGGAACGCACGGCGGGGGCTGAGAACTAGGAACGCACGGCGGGGGCTGAGAACTAGGAACGCACGGCGGGGGCTGAGAACTAGGAACGCACGGCGGGGGCTGAGAACTAGGAACGCACGGCGGGGGCTGAGAACTAGGAACGCACGGCGGGGGCTGAGAACTAGGAACGCACGGCGGGGGCTGAGAACTAGGAACGCACGGCGGGGGCTGAGAACTAGGAACGCGCGGCGGGGGGTGAGAACTAGGAACACGTGGCGGGGTGTGAGAACTAGGAACACGCGGAGGGGTGTGAGAAGTAGGAACGCACGGCGGGGTGTCAGAACTAGGAACGCGCGGCGGGGGCTGAGAACTAGGAACGCGCGGCGGGGGCTGAGAACTAGAAACACACCCAGGTGCGCATTCCCAGTTCTCTGCTGCAACATTAATTTCGGTTCCTATGTCACAGGGCATTGAGCATGAGGATTTTAAAAGGGTGTATTGCCCCTAGAGAGTGAACACCGGGCTCCATGTGGAAGTTTTTCTGGGAGGAGGGGCGGGTTCCAGCAGATGAACGGGGCAGCCAAGAAGTACCAGCAGCGGAGGGGGCCCGACCTATACTGAGTAGGCACGGCACAGGTTCACTGTAGCCCGTCAGCTCTGTGACCAGATATCTGACCAGTAAATGGAATCTGTACATTGGTGTCCAGCATAAGACTCCCTCGCTTCCATCATCTCTTCCTCAGCTCCCCTAATATACAAACCTTCACTCATACTCATCCTCCGGATTCAGAATTTCATGTTTCTTTCTTTTCTTATGCCGTCAGCGATGGCGTCTGCGGATCTGAGGAAGGAGCTGGACTGTTCCATCTGTCTGAACATCTATACGGATCCCGTGACTCTACGCTGCGGACACAACTTCTGCCGGGTGTGTATCGATGGCGTGCTGGATTTGCAGCTAGGGAGCGCGCATTATGCGTGCCCCGAGTGCAGGAAACGGTTCCGGAGCCGCCCCGCGCTGCAGAAAAACATAACGCTGTGTAACATAGTGGAGAGTTTCCGTTCTTCCCACCCGGAGCAGAAGGAGAGCGGGATCTCCTGTACTTACTGCATCCACGCCTCTGTCCCGGCTGTGAAATCCTGCCTGCTGTGCGAAGCTTCTCTGTGTGACAACCACCTGAATGTCCACAGCAAGTCCCCAGAACACGTCCTATCGGACCCCACCGCTTCCCCGGACGACAGGAAGTGCTCCGTCCATAAGAAGGTCCTGGTGTACTACTGCACCGAGGACGCCGCCTGCATCTGCGTGTCCTGCTGCCTGATCGGGGAGCACAAAGGCCACCAAATCGAATCCCTCGAAGAGGCCGCCGAAAAGAAGAAGAAGCTGATGCGAAACGCGATTCATAAACTGGGGACGAAGCGGCGGAAGACCGAGAAGAGAGTCCAAAGCCTGCAGGAGCGCAAGAGGAAAGCGCAAGGCAAAGCGTCCGGAGAAACGGAAAGAGTCACCGCCCTGTTCAGAGACCTCCGGAGACAGCTGGAAGAGCTGGAGATGAGAGTCCGGGGGGAGATCTCCGGGCAGGCCGAGCGGGTCTCATGCTCCGTCTCCGATCTGATCCAGCAGCTGGAGGTACAGAAGGACGAGCTGTGCAGAAGGATGCGTCAGATGGAGGAGCTGTGCGACGCGACGGATCCACTGGCTGTCCTACAGGAACCGGTCCACGGGGGTTGGTTTGAGGAGGAGGGAGATGAGGATGTCGAGAGACAAAATAAATTCCTCCTAACCGCCGGCGATCTGGACGTGGCGCTGATCTCTCACACGCTGCACGCCGGCTTGTCGGATATAATATCGGGGATTAATGGGGCGAGCTACATGCAGGAAATCGCAGAGATACTACTGGATGTGAACACCGCCGGCTATTACCTGCACATATCAGATGACCAGAAGACCGTATCCTGGTCCGACATCAGCCAGAACCGCCCGGAAGTCCCGGAGCGCTTCCAGTACGCCCCTCAGGTGCTCAGCAGCCGCGGCTTCTCCGCCGGGCGACATTACTGGGACGCGGACGTCAGCGGCTCCGACGAATGGCGGGTGGGGATGTGTTACCCCAGCATGGAGAGGAAAGGAATAAAAAGCCAGTCGGTGATCGGAAGCAACAACAAATCCTGGTGCTTGCACAGGACCGCGGATCAGTATTTGGTGGTTCACGACGGGAATAAGACCCAGCTGGCTGACAGCAACTCTGTGGAACGCGTCAGGATATATCTGGACTACGAGGCCGGGCAAATCTCCTTTTACGATCTGCGCGACCCGATCCGACACCTCCACACCTTCGCCGCCACCTTCACCGAGCCCCTCCTGGTTGCATTACGTGTGTGGGAAGGTTGTATACGGATATCCGGGGGGAAACAGGAGATGTGAGACAACGCAAGGATCTGACTGGGGGGGGGTATTCAACCAGTACGGTGATACGGTGCGGGTGTATAAATACCATAATACCCGAGATTTCTGCACCTCTCCCTCTCCAACGGCCCGCAGAACTTATCATCGAAGTGCAGAACGAGCTGCTCCCAGGACTGAGCCACTCTCCAAACGAGCCGGGTGCCGGGGCCAGGTTGGGGCTCGTCCTACGCTCCTCGTACTTCACAGGTTCCAATGAGAAGACATTAATACTGGCTGAAGTCACAGGGCAGTTATTACAGACGCGAGTCCCCGAAAAAATGTATAGCGATGGCACCAGGGCAGGCCTTTAGGCGCCCTGTGCGAGAAAGCTTTATAGCGCCCTCTCAGTGACCACACCCCCTCAGTGGCCACACCCCCGTAACCACACCCATTTCCCCCAATATCATTTAAAGACTCCTATTTTGTGAAGCCGCAAAAGAAACATATTAAAAAGTATGACAAGAATAAAACTTTTATGCAAAGGTATCAAACTTGTCGGCACAATAGAAGTATTCTCATCACATAAAACAACAGAAGGTAAACAATAAATGTCAGACTACAATACAAATAAAGTGTCGGGTTGTCATGCCGATCCCTTTCTTCATGTAAGTGCATCTAGAAAAGTAAAAATAGAAAACAGAACACAAAACCCGGACTACGTGTAAAAAGAATGAATTACTATATGTCCGAATATAAGAAAAATGTATTCAGGTGTATAATAATTTGTTTGAGAATGTGCGGCGGCCATATTGGCCACCGGCGTGTTCTGTGAATGCGCGCCACCATCTTGGAGGCGGGGAGCATGACGTTACATGACGCCATGCATGCGTGGCGTCAGGTGACGTCACACACCGATATTGGCCCCACCATCTTGGTGTATACCTAGATATACACCAAGATGGCGGCGACATAATTTTTTATTATTTTATAATTTTTTTACTGTTGGGGGAGGGGCTTCGGGAAATATTAGGGGTCCACACAGACCCCCGACATTTCCATTTTAAAATAGAAAAGAAAGTGAGGACACCAAATCCTCAATCTCTTTTTCAGCTTCCTCAGCACTCAATGAATGGGAAGCTCTCAGTACAGAGGCTCCTCCCATTCATATTTACTATCAGCTGTTTCAGAATGGGGAGGAGCCTCTGTACTGAGTGCTTCTACCCATTGAGGAAATCATGAATGAACAGGAAGTGATGTAAATCACGTCCTGTTCATTCATAACTGGGGACACGTAGCACTACGTGTCCCCAGTTATTTACAAACACTGGAGTGATCAGACGATGGCTCCGGTGTTTGTCCTTCTCACACGGAGGACCGGTAAGTATCACTGATATCCACCCATGAAGGGGAGAGAAGCCGCCCCCAGGACGAGCTGTGTCGGCCGCACGGCGCCCTTGTCTCCATGGTGCCCTGTGCGGCTGCACAGCTCGCACACCCCTAAGGCCGGCCCTGGATGGCACTCTGTAAGCTGGCAAGCTTTATTGATCGCGGCAGGCAAACGAAGTGTCCACGCCTGGGAACCTCCTCTCAGACCGGGCTTAATCTAAATCAAGGAGGTAACTTTTGTCTTGCGATGGTTGTAAGGTACTTAAAAAAACGTACAATCTGCCCATCTTGCATAGGCAGATCGTACTTGCGATGATCGCAAGCCACGCCCCCTGAGGGGCGGGCTTCCGATGACCGCAATGCCGAACGGGCAGTGTGCGCTTGCGCACACACCGGACTGGGGACCTTTAGTGAGGAGCCCGACCCTAGAACCAGACTGTGTGGCTGGAGGACTGGGGAGCAGCAGCCTGTGTGACAAGCCTGTGTGGCCAGTGGATATTTTGTTTAAGGACTTTACCTGAAGTCGGTGAGACGGAAAAAAAATGTTTTGATTAACCCCTTCGTGACTGACGACGTACAGTGTACGTCGCCAGCATCGGGGCTGTTTAAACAGACTCCCGGCGACTTTTGCCGCCGGGACTCTGTTTAAACTTGTAGAGCCGACTGTCGGCTTTACAACAGAAGCGATCCTGGCGACTTACCTGATTATTTAAAAAAAATGGGTAATTTGTTGTGTTTTGGGGCATTTAATTAAATTTGTCACTAAATTTTGGGGTTTAATAAGGAGTTGCGCTAATATTGCGCAACATAAAAATTTTCAACTACCACCATTTTATTCTATAGGGTCTTGGCATTCAGAAAATATATAATGTTGGGGGGTTTTACGTCATTTTCAGGCCTAACATGTGGAATATAACATGGGTGCAAAAATGGAAAAAAGGGCCTCAGTCATGAAGGGGTTAATAAAACGACTGTGTGTTTGGAAACCCCTGAGAGGGAACACTCTGCGTGGACCTCTCTTTCCATTTTGTGAGTAAAACAGTGAAAAGCGAGTGGCGGTGTCCTTAATGTGCTACCGTTGGGAGCCGATCCGCACACTGTCTTCGATTACGCGCCGCCTGATGAGCGAATCACATTGTCTATCGGGATCGATAAAGCTTGCCAGTGTTGAATTCTACGCAGTGCCGCCCGTGTACGTGTCTACTTGTGTCTGTAATAACTGTTCTGTCGCTCCAGCCGGCATTAGACGTCTTCCTGTTGCATCTACTTTTAGGGTGTGTATGACCTCATCTGGCACCCCCACACCATCGCCAAGCATTCTCCCGCTGCATTACGAGTATTGGAAGGCCGTGTGATAATAGCTGGGCAGGATATGTAGAGAACTCATCCAGACTGATGACATCACAGGAGTGGGAGGAGTAATCTGTCTGGAGGGGTAACCCTGAGGTTATACAATAATATTGGGGGGGGGGAGGGGGCAGTTACATTTAGATGTATCCTCCTCGCCCTTCGCCGGTCTCTGCATTGGTGGTAATAAGGGGCCCATCACTGCAGCCAGAATTAGACGACTTCCTGTTGGTTGGGATGTCCTGGGTGAAAAACAAATTGTGGAGGGGAGAACTTTCTCGTGCCCGGGGCCCTGTAGTTATGGCGGATGTAGTGATCTATGGGGTGAATGGCACAGTTATGCACACTCCAGACTTGGGACGCAGCAGGTGAGGTCAGATGTTTTCACAGGACAAAGACTGAGATCCTCTGGGTGACCTCTGAACCCAAAGACAGCTGAGGCTTGGAAAAGTCATTTCTAAATTTGGAGCCGGCCGATGGCGATGGTAAGGCTGATATACTAAAGGAGTTGAGAATCTTTTTCTCAATAAATGTTGTGAATGTTTCACTTTCGTTATCAATGTCACGTGAAGAGGCGTATATCCTCTAAGAGAAGGACAGTCCAAGTGATAGCAAGAGTGTACCTGAGGGTAGAGGCAGCAGAGTGTACTGACCAAGCAGCATGGCAGGTAAGAAAGCAGCCATGGAGATGCACTAAAGTCATGAAGGTGGGCTGGAGGCACAGGGGTCCAGTAGAGTCATGAAGGCGGGCTGGAGGCACAGGCGGGCACTAGAGCCATGAAGGTGGGCTGGGGGCACAGGGGTGCACTAGTCATGAAGGTGGGCTAGAGGCACAGGGGTCCAGTAGAGTCATGAAGGCGGGCTGGAGGCACAGGCGGGCACTAGAGCCATGAAGGTGGGCTGGGGGCACAGGGGTGCACTAGTCATGAAGGTGGGCTAGAGGCACAGGGGTCCAGTAGAGTCATGAAGGCGGGCTGGAGGCACAGGCGGGCACTAGAGCCATGAAGGTGGGCTGGGGGCACAGGGGTGCACTAGTCATGAAGGTGGGCTAGAGGCACAGGGGTCCAGTAGAGTCATGAAGGCGGGCTGGAGGCACAGGCGGGCACTAGAGCCATGAAGGTGGGCTGGGGGCACAGGGGTGCACTAGTCATGAAGGTGGGCTAGAGGCACAGGGGTCCAGTAGAGTCATGAAGGCGGGCTGGAGGCACAGGCGGGCACTAGAGCCATGAAGGTGGGCTGGGGGCACAGGGGTGCACTAGTCATGAAGGTGGGCTAGAGGCACAGGGGTCCAGTAGAGTCATGAAGGCGGGCTGGAGGCACAGGCGGGCACTAGAGCCATGAAGGTGGGCTGGGGGCACAGGGGTGCACTAGTCATGAAGGTGGGCTAGAGGCACAGGGGTCCAGTAGAGTCATGAAGGCGGGCTGGAGGCACAGGCGGGCACTAGAGCCATGAAGGTGGGCTGGGGGCACAGGGGTGCACTAGTCATGAAGGTGGGCTAGAGGCACAGGGGTCCAGTAGAGTCATGAAGGCGGGCTGGAGGCACAGGCGGGCACTAGAGCCATGAAGGTGGGCTGGGGGCACAGGGGTGCACTAGTCATGAAGGTGGGCTAGAGGCACAGGGGTCCAGTAGAGTCATGAAGGCGGGCTGGAGGCACAGGCGGGCACTAGAGCCATGAAGGTGGGCTGGGGGCACAGGGGTGCACTAGTCATGAAGGTGGGCTAGAGGCACAGGGGTCCAGTAGAGTCATGAAGGCGGGCTGGAGGCACAGGCGGGCACTAGAGCCATGAAGGTGGGCTGGGGGCACAGGGGTGCACTAGTCATGAAGGTGGGCTAGAGGCACAGGGGTCCAGTAGAGTCATGAAGGCGGGCTGGAGGCACAGGCGGGCACTAGAGCCATGAAGGTGGGCTGGGGGCACAGGGGTGCACTAGTCATGAAGGTGGGCTAGAGGCACAGGGGTCCAGTAGAGTCATGAAGGCGGGCTGGAGGCACAGGCGGGCACTAGAGCCATGAAGGTGGGCTGGGGGCACAGGGGTGCACTAGTCATGAAGGTGGGCTAGAGGCACAGGGGTCCAGTAGAGTCATGAAGGCGGGCTGGAGGCACAGGCGGGCACTAGAGCCATGAAGGTGGGCTGGGGGCACAGGGGTGCACTAGTCATGAAGGTGGGCTAGAGGCACAGGGGTCCAGTAGAGTCATGAAGGCGGGCTGGAGGCACAGGCGGGCACTAGAGCCATGAAGGTGGGCTGGGGGCACAGGGGTGCACTAGTCATGAAGGTGGGCTAGAGGCACAGGGGTCCAGTAGAGTCATGAAGGCGGGCTGGAGGCACA